TGCTGAGCAGTCTCAGCTTTCAGGGACATCTCTAGGACTCATGGGATGTCGGTAGTTCCCAGGGAGCCCTGCATTACCCAGGACCATGGGGGAAACCTACTAGGGCTGAAGTGTGAGAAGTACACGGAAGCCTCTTTCACAGCCCCACTGCTGCATGCTGATGCCACCCCTCACAGGCCATGCCTACAGCACCACCTTTTCCTTTCTTGGCTAAGCAGCCCCAGTGTGTGGATGTATGGTTTCTAGGCTCTGATAACAAGATAGTGCCTCATTCACTTGATATTCCTGTCTCTCAGAACCACAGATTCACCCACCCTCCCAAAGCCCTAGGAAGTGCTTTTACTCATTGAATTACAGCTCAGCTCCTCCAGCTCTGTATTATCATCAGAGCAAGGCCCAAAAAGCTCTGCATTGAGCACATGAATGAAATGACTTTTTATTCTGGGAGTTGCTTCCAGAGAAAGAAATAATCCATGATGCCCCACAAAACTCAGGATAAAAAGTCCCATCCATCTGTGAACTCCAAAAGCCAGGTTTCTGTCCACCTATAGATTTAGCTGGAAGGTCGAGAGAGGCAGGAGCATGCACAACACCCCCATCTTTAATACCTCTGACTGTGTTATGTTCTCCAGTTCATCTGTATGAGAGTGATCATACTTACAGGGCAGAGCTCCGCAGCACTGCCTCTTCCCCTAGACCTCACTGCAGATAGATCCAGTTCTGCTGTCCAAATCCCAGTACTGGAATTAGCCTAAGAGATCAGTTGAAGCATCTTGGCTTCTCATAAATCTCTATTGAGGAGCATGCCTCCTGTACTTGCCTTGAGGCATCTGCTGTGGATTGACTCCTCTGGTCTCTGGCTAACCTAGTCCACATGAGAAGCCTCAGAGAGGGTGGAATGTAGGAAGGCTGCCAGCTACAGCCTTCCATGCTAGGCTGAGCAGAAAGGCAATCAGGTTTCCTAAGCACTGTAACAGATGACAAGGTGTATATTTATACCAGATACCCACATACTTTGAGTGAATTGTGCAACATGAGATTTGTCATCATGCATCAGATCACTGTGTATCTAATCCAATACTACGGCTCTGACAATGTCAGGAGAGCTGAGCTGCCTGCAATGATGCACCTCACCAACTGTGCAATGCGGGAACAGAGGGTCTGCGATTAATATTCCTCCCCAGTTCCTCCAACAATCAACTAGTACCCTGACTGCTCTTGTTATCTAAGCAGGCAGAGCTGCAAATGTAAGTAATCACAAGTTTAGGCAGCCTTCTAAATACAACTCGTAAAACCACAACATACATTTCTATATTTTGAGTGGGATAATGTTATGCTGATTTCACCTTACTTTCCTCTGTTAAATGATTCTGAGGCTAATTGCTCCCTGGATGCCAGCAGTGAAGAGCTATCGTAGTGCTGGAAGTGGCCTGTAATCTTTTACACCACTCCTAGCATCATCTTTTATACCTCCCATGAGCTCCCCATTCCTTGCACGCTTGGTTTTTATTTTAGCTTTGTTTGGTTATGTTTTTTGTATTTTGTTATTGGTGGTGGTGGTTTGAATTTTCTCTCTTGTCTTTGCTGCAAGGGAATCAAGCCATTCTTCTCCTCTGGGTGTGCTGGCAGTCAGCCACGTTCTGTAAATGCAGCAGGTGCTGCTGCCTTTGTGTTCACAGTGCTGTCATCACCCTTTGATCAGGCCAGGAGTCAGTTACTTTGCTTGGCTGGTTTGGGCTTCTGCCATTCACAGAGCAGAGCTCTCCCCTAAGCTGTCTGCAGCAGCTTTTGCAGCACTCCCATGAGCTTGTACAGATAATTTCAAACCCCTTAATATGAGCAGCTTCTTAGACCACTTAGACTGCTTCTTCCCAGCCTGCATAGTGTGACTTTCTGGTCAGAGCAAAAGGGTCTCTTGTCCAAGGGGCTCTTGCGTCCTTGGCTGTCTCTCATGTTTAGTGCTTTCTGCAGCTGATTTACATAGTAAAAGTGCCCTGAATTAGCTGTTTGTCTATGGAAAACTCCTTCCTCCTTGTAGTGACCTGCAGAAAAGGACCAGGGAGGGGGAATCCTTCTTTTGCTCTGCAGTTGAATCTGAGGCATGGGAATTTTGTTCTTCTGTTTCTCCTCTCTCAAAGGCTTCTTTTCCTAGTCCAAGGACTCTGCTGTGAATTACTGGAATCAGTTGTGGTCCTGGGCCTTGTGAGGTTTGGTCCCTGAAATCCATGTAATGGCTTTTGCAGGAGTGCCATGATTTTGTGTCTCACAGTCCATGTGGCACTGGATCAATGCCATTTCAGGCTGTGTTGAAGATGATTTTTGAGCAAACAACTGTCTTATGACACAACCAATAGTGCTATTTGCTCCTGTCCTTTTCTGCTTCCTTATGTTTTGTAATTGATCCGTATTTGTTGGCATCTGCTTTTCTGTTTGATGTGTTCTGTCCTGATGGTGCCAGCCACTAATGTAACAGGATTCAGAAGATGGTGGTGGGAGTTACCAGGTGTGGAGCAAAGACTGTCTCATTTGGAATGAATTATAGTTCAGGAACTTAGATCAACTAGGTTTGTCAGATACCAGGGGATTCAGTGACTTTTTCCACTTGTAGATTGAGGTACTGATCCTTTAATAGCTCAAGTGATTTTTTTTCAGGCAAAACAAGCTACCCAGAGTGTCCAGTAACCTTTTTATCCTTTCTAAGCTGCCAGTGACAACAATCTGTGGTGAGGCAATGTCATTGAAGACCATCGTTCAAAAAGTGAGACCATTGCCTGTGACCTGTCCTGGTCATCTCAACAAAGTTGGCATTTCCTTGTCCTCCTGTGAGGTATCATATTGTCACATGTGATCTGCACCATGCTAGAAACAGGGTATGGATATCAGCCTAGCAGTGGGTGTGCTCCTGCAAAGCTCACTGGCTAGCATCCCTGGGTATTCCCACTTCAGTACCTGGCTCACGTCTCACCTGCCAGTGTTAGCCTTCTCCTCAGTGGCTGAATGGTCTTTGGTTACCCTATACTTACAGGATGTCAGGAGGAACAGCAGGACTCAGTGGTCACAGCGCCAAGCAGTGCTCCCAGTACCAAATCTGTCTGAGTTCAAGAAACATTTTGACATCACTCTCAGGCCCATGGTGTGATTCTTGGGGTGTCCTGTAAAGGGCCAGGAGTTGGGACTTGATGATCCTGATGGCTTCCTTCAAAATCAGCATATTCTATGATTTTATGACTCCTGGGATCTCCTGAGACCAAGACAAGTGTCCACCCATGACACTCCATGAGCCTTTCCACACCCTGCAGTGTAAGAGGTCCCTCTCTGGTAAAACTTCAGCTCCTAAGGATTCCTGTCACCGTTCTGCCTTCAATTAGCATGTCTTAGCTCTCCCTGAGGTGCACTAATTGAAAAAGAAAAATTGCCTACATAGCTCATTCCTGCTAGGTCTTACCTCACCTCACAGCTCACAAGACTGTGCCCCAAGTTTCCTGAGATCTGCCGGTATCTTGGGCTTTGGACTCTTTGCTCAAGCTCTAAAACTGCAGAGGTGTTTGGCCAGACAATGCCACAGAGGCAACAGCTACACCAACTCATGAGACCCAGGCAAACACTTTGGTGATTTTACTTTGGGACAGATGAGATTCTGCCAGAGTGAGAAAGTACATTTCTAGCTCTCCTGGGTGTGGAGCAAAGCCTGGTGCTGAGACCGAGTGATACCATTGCTCACACTGTCTGCTTGAAAAAGGCAGCCTGAAAAAGGAGCTCTGAGAGTTGTTCTGCTTCCTCCTTCCCTCCAGAACAGGAAATCTCATATACTGACATGCAAGAGAACTTGGTAGTTCTGCATCATCTTAAAGGGGTGGGCTTGGATTCAGTGAAAACAGCAAATGCTTCTGTTAACAAATATCTGAAACACTAATGAAAAAAACCCACAGCAAAACTCTTTTTTATAAAGGGAATCAGATTTTATTTTTATACCCACAAAGTTAAAAATATGCATTTCAAAATATTTACAATGACTATATATGAAATAACCTTTGTTAATGAAACAGCAACATACAGTACTAGAATATATCCACCAAATTGATAAAGTCTACATAAGAAGAAAATGTAACAGAAAGAGAGAGAGAGGTAAATAGCATCCATGCACAATCTGCACCGACATGGTTTTTTATACTCTCTACCTTTTAGCTGTGAATGGAGTCACAGGGAATTTTGACCTCATTCCTTGCAAATGCCTCTTGTGACTGAGATTCTTCGAACTATCAGAAAATTGTGGGTTGCGGCAGTACCAATGCCTTACTTTCCTGTGCCAGCCTTTCATATGGGAACCTTGTATTACAGAGTGGACTCAAAAACTCTCAGCAACCCTGGGAGGTAGCTCTAGTTCTATGGAAGAATTTGGCAGATGGAAAAGCACCAGATTAAGTGGCTGGCCTAAGGCTGTACAGCAAGGAGCAAAATTCACAAGCCCTGCTTCATCTCTTATAATCTCTCATTAGGGAATACATTTCCTCTGCTAACCATTATCTGCTTTCGAGATGAGCTTTGTCACAAGGTGGGCTTCTCAATTAATACCATGTACCAGGTGATGATGTGGGAAAAAACCCTGTCTATAGATGAGAACTTGTCTCAGTAAAGATCTGTGATATTGCAGTCTGTTACCATGTTCTGGAGTTGAACAGAAGATTATTTTCGTGTAGACACACACCCAGACGATTCCCTCCCTGCATGTGCACCACTGATCAACTGCATCATCTGTAGTTAGAAACCCGTATCTTCACCCGCACACTTTCTGTCTCTCTCTCTCTCTCTCCATCATCAATGCTGTATATTTGCCATTCCTGGGAATCATGGGAATGTCAAATAGAAAACAGAACAGCAAAAAAGTCTGCTGCCTTATTTTTGTAGATATTTTAATACAAAATTTATCTGATTTCTTCTGGTTGCTTCTAATTTAATGTCTTTAGCATTCACCTATGCGCACATATATATATATATATATATATATATATATAAAAATGTAACAAAAGGCCCATTCCATTTGTTTCAATGGACAAATAAAGGGGTCATAATCCTCACTGCCCAACCCATAAGGCAAACTCAAAGGTAAGTGAGAAGGGCTCTAAGAAGAGAAAAAGATGTAGCCTTTGTTTTTGTGGTGCCCTTCAATCATCACTGCTGAGCTTGAAGCTTTGTGAAGGTATGACATGACTTAGCAGAAAAGCAGAAGAGCTGTCTGGGTCACTTGCAGATTTCTAGCCCCAGAAGTGCAAGATCAGTAGGAGCTGGTTTTCTCCCTCTCTTTGGTGAAGGAGTTTCTCAGGATTCTAGCTTAATGTTAGTGATTTTTCTGTGGTGGTGGCAGTGTTGATGATGGTGGCTGTTTCTGTCTATTGGCCCAACAGTTCTCTCAGCAGAGTAATTCTTCCCCATTCCCAGTAGCAATCCCTCTCCCCTAGACCCCCATCAGCCTTATTTTTTCCTAAGAACAAGGTAGAGGATGCCGATGATGAAACTGAAGCAAAAGCAGATCCAGGCCAATATGAAGCAGTAGCCATGGTGAGGATTTGTGACGTACTGTGTCTTGCCTGTGAACCGAGCTGTGTAAATGGAGACTGCAATCAGAATGCACATCCCTGTGGGAAGGAAGAAGGAAAGAAGAGTTGGAAAACGCACTGAAATCAGCATTGCTGCAAGACTTCTGAAGTACTGTTGTCCCCTGAGATTGTAATGCATGTCTTGTGCCGTATGAGAGAGGAGCTGCTGCCCATTAGGCTTATTTTTGGAGGATTTCTTTTGCAGATGTGATGACATAAGACACTTGGGGCTTGTTTAGTGGGTGCCATGAGGAATAAACCTTTGTTAGGAGGAAATCAGTAATAAGATCTGACGACAGTTTGGTGGTAGTGTTGAATCCCATGAGCAGTAGCTGTCTAACTGTTTATTCCCCTGCCCCCTCAAAACACTTGAATCCTTTTTGTTGTCTTTCAAAGGTATTTTGCAAAACCCACTGGAATTTCCTAATGAAAATCTTGAAACATTTTCATTATATACAGCAAAAAAACACAAAAAAACCCCACAAAACCCGACCCAACACTTTCCAATTTCTCAGTGCTTTGTTTTGTAACAAAATCGGGCCACTGGAAACATTTAGCTGGCTTACAATGTCCCCTGAAGACCATGTGTGGCAAACACGTGTGGTTACTTGTGTTCGCAGAGGCAACAAGATGCACATGGGGCCATTGCAAGGTGTGCATGTGCATACTTACAGCAAACCAGCATGACGGCTCCAGTCATGTAGAAACGTTTGCCTTTTTCCAGAGTGAACAGCTGGATAACGAACAGGATGAGCGCCACGACGGAGAAAATGATCGAGAGGATCATAAAGGCTTGCACAACTTTGAGGGAAGCTGTCAAAACACAGGGAATAGATTGGAGAAGGTCAGGACTCAGTCTTGGTGTTGTGCACCAAGGTCCTGCAATTCACCACCCTGATGGAAATGCAGATGTAACTTACTCTCATCACCGCTCTTAACTGAAAGCTGATTGCAGGTCTTATTGCACAGCAACCAGAGTCCTGTTGAGACTGTTCCAAAGCTGGAGGAACTCACCATCCAAACCTGAAATAGGATAGAACACTTGCATCAAGGGGGAGGAAGGCTTTCCTGCTCTTCTGCCAGACTAAACCATAAAGTGAGCATGAGTAGCCAAAGTGCCTGAAAATGTCAGCATGTATCGATTGCGATGAGCAACCAGACTGGTGATAGACGGTGCTGGCTTCCAGAGCCAGGAGGTGTTTGGTCCAGGCAAAACACCAGGAGGGAACGGTGGGCTAAGCGAGCTGCCCAGGTGGGTGCGAGGGGACCCTGAAGTCCTCTCCGATGGCAGGTGGGGGCATGGGGGACCCCGGCAGTGCCTCCCCCTCCTCCTGCTGCCAGGGGTCCCCCTCGGCCTGGATTTCCCCAGCAGCCAGGTGGTCCTGGCCCGGCTGCCCCCCTTGGCTTGGGATGCACCCCACTGGACAACAGCCTGGTCACCAGCTGGGGGGATCAACAACGCATCAGAGCTGTCATCTGCTGATCTCCCCAGCTCTGACTTGCATTCTCTGTGGTGAAGGGTGTTGAGGTGCTGCTGGTTCTGGGATTTGGAGAGATCACAGACAGAGGCTGCATCCTGTACCACCCTGTCTGCCTTCCTGCTCTCTGAGCGCACCCATCACTGTTTCATCTCTCCTCGTGACTGTGAGCAGATGTTCATCACCCACATACCTGAGGACCCACCCTCCAGTCCACCTGCCAGCCATATCAAGGGCTGGCTGCTGCTGCAGAAGATCTCACCCAGGGCAGTCTACTTACATTGGCAATGGTGGAGACAAAGAGCATGATGACAGTGGCAATGTGAACCACAAAGATACCAGCCAGTAGCACCAACATCTTGAGTCCCTTCTAGGTGGTGTCACTGATACAGAGAGATCTGGAGAACAAGAACAGAGGGAGGAGGTGAAGGGAAGGACTGAGTCGAAGAATAGCATTTATTTACATGCAAAAACCATGTTGATCTTAAATCCTTTCTGGAAAGATGGAAGCACAAAAAAACCCATCACTAAAACCTTTGTCAAAATCTGCTCAAGAGGTTAAATAGAGCCTGGAGGCTAAGGAATTGGTTTGGGAGGAGGTGTAGAACAGGGGTAGATAGCTTGGGGGCATTTTAAAAATAGCATGATTATATATACAGGTATATTGATGTTGTTAACGTAAAGTAAAAAATGCCATACTCCAGGCCTACACTCTAGGAGGAGGAGTTTTTGCCCATGCCATTCACAGAGGTCAGGAAGGCTTTTTCTCTTCCTGTTCCCCTCTGGTGTCACAGCCTCTTCCAGATGGTCTGGGACAAGGACAGGTGGCATGGAGTGGAGGACTGTGTGTTCCTGGTTGCATTGGGTGTTGAGCAGTGGTGGAGAGTAAACTGGGGGGCAGCCCCTACTCCATTGTGTGAAGAGGAGAGGAAGCAGAAGAGAAATGCCACTGAAGTTTTCTGGAGCTGAGGAAGATGCTTAGGTTTGCAATGAAAACTGCCTGTTTCCCTTTTAAAACTTGAGGCATGCAGATCACTTTATTACTGCAATAAGATTCTCTTGTAATGCAAATTCCTCTTTGGTTTGTTTTGGTTATTTTTTGCCTCTGTACCCTGCAAGCTTTTATTTTTTGTAACATTTCCTGTCATTGATGAACACGTGATTAGAAAGAGAGGGGAATGTGCTTTAGAAAGCTTGCATGACACTGTTTGCCAAGGCTGCTGACTTCTCACCTGAAAAAGCAAAATACAAGGAACAAATCTAAGCCATGAGAATGAGTGCAGACAATTCACACAAAGCAAGTGAGTATATTTCAGGCAGAAGAACTTACTGGGTCCACTCTGTGGCCAGTAAACTTCCTAGAAAGTTTCACAGGGCTGTGTTGCTATTTCCTTTGGTAGTGCTGGTACTGAAAAGCAATATCAAGCATTATTGTGATTAATGTTAACTGGCAAGTTATTTTGGTCCAGGTGACTCAGGCAAGGTTTGATGCTGTCACCATTTGTGCAGGGTGTGGCAACATTGTCGTGTAACAACACAATTGTACTTTATGATGTCTTTCACACAAACTGTGACAAAAAACTTCGTAAAATCCCATTCATGTGTCTTTTTTTACTTGATGACTCCACCTTCTCCACTCCTGTCTTTCCTTTCAGTGTGACCATGAGTGGAAGTGTATTCCTGTAAAGTGCTGCAGCTATTCCTTGCACTGCTTTGGATACAGTTTCCCAAACCACAGTACGTAGGCAGGCTTCTCCATCAATGGCACTTCAACCAGTTCAGCATTAGCTGATGACCACGAGGAATTCCTTGAGTTCAAGATCTCAAGGAACCAGCTCTGGTAGGTCATTCCTCCCACCCAAACAAGGTCAGTCCTTAGTAAAACACATTAGGTTTATTTACTGGTCCTATCTCCTTGGCAAAACTTGTCTTCTGTGAGGTTTCCTTCACCTGGGAGAACTCTCTGGAGCTGTTTAGTCCTGGCTTGCTGAACATGGACCAGGCTTGCTTGTCTGCTTTGGGGTGTCCTAGCAAACTTCATGCTCTAAAGTTTGATTTGCCTGGATGGCCTGGTCACTGTCACTCTCTTGTGACAGTACCTCCCTTAGTGATGATCTTGGAGAAAGCGCAGCCTTCTTAGGAGCTCCTCTCTGACTGTAGTGACAGTCATTTATGAGTTCAGCACTGTTAAAATTCAGGTTCTCAATACTATATGCAAGCTACCACATGAACATCCCTGACCTAAGAGTTAAACCCCTTCTTTCCATTTGACTGCAAAAGGAACGAGGGTTTCAAAATGCTGGATGGCAACTGGTACAGATACCACCACTGTACCTTTAACTAAGAAACTATTGGTGTTGCCATGACTAAGTGACATATCTGCAGCAGACTTGAGTCAAATCTTCCTGTCCTTTTGACTACTTCTTATTCATTTTTGATTACCTCGGTTCTCACACAAGCTGTCACAACTGCTCTTTCCACCACAGGGTATTGGTATGCATTCACCAAACTGGCAAATTTACCTGCTCTGAAATTTGCCTTTACTTAACAGTAGCTAAACTTTTCTTCTTTCTTAGATGGATTTTTGCTACAGCCTTCTTAAAAACTCATTCAGCAGGGGTTTTTTCCTGATTATTTTTTAGGATCTTCAAACAAAGCTCTCTACTTGAAAGATTAAAAACCTACTTACATGACACCCTAAAGGACTAGAACAGTCTTTTTAAATCCATTTTTTGTTTGCATTCAAAAATGAAAAGGAGAGATAAATGTTACTTTACAAAGTAAAAAAAAAAAAAAAAAACAAAAAAACCCACGCCCAAGACTTTGACCAATACTCTATGAAAAAAATGAAATCCTTTATTCCCTTTGCGTTTTCTGCCTGTTCTAGCACTGCAGGAGAGCACTGTTAGTTCAGGTGCTTTCAGTGCACCTATTTCCTGAGAACGTCAGCACCTCTCCCTGAATACACACGCTATCAAATGCAAACTCCCCCAAGGGATATGTGCTCACAGCTTAGTTTTGATTCTTTGTGAGTTAAAGCACAAGCCTCCCTCTCTATTCATTTGCTTTGCCCTTTCTTCATCTCTCTCTGCCTGCTAAATAAAACACAAGAGAACAATCCCAAAGGAGCTGGGGGTGAACAAATGGCAGTGAAATAGAGTCATCTCTGTCTCTGATGCTATGGCGTGGACTTTTCCTCCCATTAGACAGAGAAGCTGGCAGAGCATCAGGGACTGACAGGAATACGGTTTCCATTTGTTAAGTGTGAGACATCTCTCTCCGCTACAGGGTGGGGTCACATTGCTGGAGCAATAGGACAAAATTGCATGCAAATGCCTTTTCTTCCATTCCCCTACCTAAACTGCAGCTGCATTTGGAGTTCCTCAGGCTCTTCTTGGGCTATGAGTCAGTTTTAGCCTTCCTAGAGCTGCCAGTTTTTCCACTGACTCACCCCAAAGCTCTCAAAACCCACAATTATTTAACCCTACAAGGTTAAGTGCTCAGGACACTGTCAGTTTTAGGACTGCTTCTCAAGAACCAGTCAAGCAAACAGTTTGTGAGTCCTCCTCATGCATCTTCCAGAAGAGAGACACCAACTAAGCCAATAAAAAAAGGGGTGAGACATAACAGGTAGGAGGTAGGACAGGCTGGTGGGGAAGAAGGTGTGAAGGTCATATACCTGATGAACAGCCTGCATGAGTCAAGAGAAGACCTTGCACTGATGACAGCGGGCTGAGTTTCCTTTTCATTGGATGACGGATGAAGAGAAATAACAAGCCACACCAACAGTAGCCACGAATAATAATCACCCTAGCAGCCTTCAGTACAAAAATGCCTACAGATAAGCATGACAGACTCTTAGCTGTGTAGACTATTTCTCTGACCATGCAGGAGTACACATACCAGGGAACAACACACAGCTCTGGTGCCCCCTAATTCAAGTTCAAGCAGGTCGGCACTATCAACTAAAAATTAAGACAAAGTCTCCTCATGCAGGCAAATTGGTGCCACCCATATCGCCCCTCTGTCTACTTAAGTGCTTTGGACCCTTCTATTTGGAGGGCAATACAGAGAAGAGAGTCCTTGCCCTTGGTTTGCTGCTTCACAAAGCATCAGGATGGAATGAGAAGTGCCACTTGGAGATATGATAAAGGCCAACGATATAGTTTCTCAAATATAGGGAGTGGGCTACTCAAGAGTGTAGGCCAGATTAGGTAGAAGTCCTTTGCTTCTACAGAAAGGGCACTGCAGTGAAGGGAGTAGAGGGGGAGTGTACACGATATTTCTGCAGGAATGATGGGGTTGTTCGGGGTGAAGAATCAGGGCACTCTCAAGTAAATCTGAAATATTTCACACCTGAAGTGTTCCTGAGGGATGTAGCTCATCTGACCTTCCATTCACATTCTCCTCTCTGAACTGAGGTCCCTGCTTGGGACTGCCACTCCCAGGGTGATTTGGTGAGGTGTGCTGTGAGAGATGCTGGCTGGGGTGAGAACGCAGCCAACAGCCTAGAGCAACCTATAGTGTCCAGGGAGCAGAGGACATCTAAATTGCACTGCCTGTGCACACTGTGGTGACCTCTGACTCCTCTAAAACTGAGTTTTTCAGCTAAAGTCCCTTTAGTTTTATATGTTAGATTTCTCAAAAAGGGAAAGATGGCATTTTGGGGAAAAAGCAAATGCTTTTGGCCAGAACATCAACAAAAATCTCCATAGATTGAAAGCAACTAACATAAAAGAAATTCTGCCTTTCTTATCTGCCACTACAGAATATGAGGAATGCAGTAGTAAGTCAGACCAATGGTCTGTCTAACCAAGTACGCTGTCTCTGATGGTGACAGTAGGAGGTCCAATATTTAGAGAAAGTATGTGAACCTGACCACTGTCTGAGGGGGCACAGAGTCACACCAGGAATACTGGTGGTTCAAATCAGGATCAAGGCCACTTGGAAAGAAAGGAGAAAACTGGAGAGTAACAGACAGAAAGTAAAAACTGTTTGATACTGTTTGAGACAGCCACAAACTGCCACCTCTGTTACCAGTACATTTCTCAGTGCAAAGCCAACCCACAAAGAGCAATGCTGCCATGTTGCTACCAGTAAGGGAAACCTCAGCATGGGATAAAACCTTCTGCAGAATTCTGCCTTTTGACTGACCTGAGGCCATCACTGCATCTTAGCCCTGCTACAACTCCACACCTTGTCATTGTGTGCAATATGAGCACCAATCCTCCTTGTGCCCAGGGTTATTTGGCAGGATGCAAAGATGTGAAGACGTCTGTGATATTCCAGTAGCATGACAACATCACATTGTTACTAGAAAGCTCATGACAACTTTAAACAACAACACAGAAAGATCTTTTTGCTTTCCCCTTTGTTCTGTTTCTTGCTTCAGATCCAG